GGCGATAATCGAGCAGGGGACCCTATTTTAAATATCCACAACCTTCCTATTCTGTTTGTGCGTGAATGATAAAATCCGGCTAAATCAAGTCTAAGAATCAATTTAAAACTAAAAACAAAAGAGAATCCATATGCGTAACGTTGAAAAAGTGGATCTGCAGATGTAAACAAAAGATGCATTTCAATCAACACAAGGGATTTAACTGACTCCTTTAGTACTCATGATGGATTCTTTTCCAAAAAAGGTGCTTCATTACAAATCCTATTTTTCATCCAATAATGATGTGTTATAAATAAACAGCTCAATGCACAGGTGGAAAGCGATAAAATTTTTTGAGAATTCCGAGGCTGTGAAATATTATGTTTATGTGTTGTCAATAATCCCCAGGACGGCTCGAGAAAGTGAGGGGTTAAGTATTTGACATAATAATCCTTAGAAGTAGGTTGTGACACGCAAAACTGCGTTATCGTTTTATATTCCCTTCAAGGGAAAATCCACGGCTATGAAATATCCCCGAAAACAGACAACTTGTCGAAATGTGAGGCGATTCTTGTTTCCAATTGACACCAGGGGCGGCTAAGATTGCCTACAGTGAAATCGCTAGCACAAAAACGAAATTCTTCGCGCCATTTTCTGACAATATAATAATTATTGCCAACATTTTCCAAGCAAGATAGGTAGATGTTGTTTTCCTTTGCGTTTTTACGTTCTACTATGACGCAAAAACAATTAGGCCAATTGAATACTCACTCAGTAAACAATAAAGCAAGTTCAAAGTCCGGCAGTGAGGCCGGATAAATGTTTGCTGCTGTTACTTTCGTAACTCGTTTTCTTCTCTGTGTTTTGTTTACATAACTCTTATTCATTAACGATTTGTACATTTTCTAAGTTTTTGTTATTCATGCTGTGATTGCTGTGATCAATGCAAGTTTCACAATATAGCCTTTGGAATCATGTAATTAGAGACACCACATTTTTTATCAGTTTAGTTGCGCCGTCTACGTTCTCGCTATTTATACTATCGCTGTCGCCGCTATCATTCTAAGCTATCGTTTGGTCAATTGCTACCCTCGCAGGAGCAAGATCAAAGTAAGTCTTCGCTACATATTTTTAGTTGTAATCGTGTCGTTATAGTTTAAGATCTATGTTCCATCAGTGTCCTTGATTTATGTTTTGTATCTTAGCTCATTAGTTTACATAAGCCTTTTGTATCGTTTTGCTTTTAGTTCGAACCACACAATCATCATTGACTACGACTTGCCTTCATCCTAATTCCGGTCATTATTGAATCTCCTGAATAAACGCTAAAGATTGATTTTAACGTGATCTTGTTACTTTGGATTATGTGCGTTCGAGTATTTCAAGCTCCTGGGGTTAAGTCGTAACCTACGCGTGGCTTCGCTCCTGGAAAGTCACAGCTGCCATTAGGCAGATCGTTATCGATAACAGAAATACTCACCGTAAGTGTTGTCCGACGAGTCAATAGAAATCGCTGGAGGAAGGACTTTTTTGAGTTTAATCTGATTACACATCAGGTATGCAAAAAAGCATACAGCGAATGCAAGAAGAAATAAACACTTGAGCTGGACTCTTTGTCCCAGGAATCAGTTAGCTTTCGTCTTACAATTCGGATCTTAAATTAACGAAAAAGTCATCATACTTAACCGTTTCTTTCCTCCCTTTTCCTTAGTAAACAGTCGCTGGATACTGTGGTCAATACGGGAAGACTGCTCTAAAACATGTGGGTCTGGAACCAAGGCTAGGAGGCGATCTTGTTCCAATCCTCCGCCTCAGCATGGAGGACGAGTGAGCTCTGGGCCAAGTGAACAGATTAAGTCGTGTTTGCTCAGGGATTGTTCGAGTAAGTGCAGCGTTTTCATGTTCACGAATAATGTAAACATCTACAGTCTTAGACATAATTATTCCTACAATTACGATTGCAGTGCAACCTTTTCAGGCAAAAACTGTGGGCGAGCGTCTATTTTCGCCCGGCCATTTCCATCCATCCGGCTCATCTTTTAATGTTAGTGCGCAAAGGATCGAGAGCACAAAGACGCTATGAGCTTTCTGCTATATCATCTCTGAAATTAAAAAAAAAAGGAATAAACAGCAAAGCTTTGATGTTCAACAAATGTACACTTTTAAGATATCTTTTGTCCCGATATGATTCCTCCTCAAGAAATTAGCCGATCTTAATCTCGTACCCAGATCTTATCGAGTAATTGTAACTGCTTGGCCGTGAAAGGTCTGGATACGAGATTAAGCCGATCTAGCACGAAAGCCCGCGATGAATGCCAATCTAATTAATACTATTCTCTTATGTTTAGCTTATGTTAGTTGGGGTTTCTAGGGTGCATGGTCAGCACGCTCCAAAACCTGCTGTGGCGGGACACAGAATCGTAAACGAAAATGTCAGGGTTACAGCCAGAGATGGTGACTGCGCAGGCGCAAATGAAGAGACCCGCGTGTCTAACACACAATCATGTCCTACCAGTAAGCAGCTAAATCTGTCTCCTCAATATCGATAAAGCCTATCTCATTTACGTTCGGATCGGTGATATTTTTTTGAAAGCTTAGCTTAGTTTTCCGCCAGAAAAAGAAAAAATTGAGTTTGGCTCCAACTTATTTTCGCTCATTAAAAGTAACACACCTTGAGAAGTAATTAGAATGATTTTTTTCTTAAAAGGTAGCATAGTAACTTCAACAATGGTTAGGTTGTTCTACCGTAGAACTGCTTGATAACTAGTTAGAACCCTAAGGTGCTTGGCAAACACTTCTTCCCTTTGTTTCTTTGATTCAGCTCTTCCGGGTCAGCTCTTGATAAAGTCTTTTTCCCCAAGTTTTGTTGAAAATACTAAAATTTTGCCCGCATAGCTTAGTTTAAAACTCTTAAACATGGGCTTTGTAAGCTTGTATTTGAGATAAAAGTGTATCTCCCGAAAGCGTTTTTAATTTACCTGACTATTTCCAACATTTTTCTTTGTACTGATGAAGTTGTTAACTGGAGCGATTGGAGTGCATGCAGTGTTTCGTGTGGGCCTGGCACTAGTGTCAGGAGTATGGAATGCGACAATCCACCCCCAGGTCCCGGTGGTAACCCTTCTCAGGGACCTCCTTTCTCAAACAAGCCTTGTAACGAGAGACTTTGTCCTGGTTTGTGTGGACATAGCATTTTAACTAAGCTCACAATTCTTCAAGAAATGTTTAAAAGGGGGTTCAATTTTAAAACGGTCTTCAATGAAGACGTGATTTCACATTTACAAGATCATACCGCACAAAGGCCCTCTGATGACTAGAAAAAAAAAAAATTAAAAAAAAAAAAAAAAAAAACCAAACCGATGTGGTGGTATAGAATGGTTTTTAATTTATTTTGACGGCCAACACTTCCTTGGTGAAGCGATTTTTTTTCAAATATATCTCTTCTTGCTATGGCTGGGATCAAAGGAAAATAAGTGTGCTCGGATTGGATAAAAGCATCATTTTCCAAATCTCAGACTTTCCTTGATCGACATACATTTTAAATTGAGGGTAATAACAATTCCTCCTCTCCCAATTATATTTGACGGGGGCTGGGGAGGCTGGAGCGCTTGGAGCGCACGCAGTGCAACTTGTGGGCCTGGCACTAGTATTAAAGCAGGAAGTGTAATAACCTAATCCCAAGCTCTGGCGGCCAGCAGATAAATTGGTCAGAACATATAATCCTTCCAAGATATTTTCCTTAAGACACATTGTCGCCTCCTGTGCATCGTAATAAAGAATTCAATTCAATTTTAACAGTTTGTTACTTTCAATCTCTTTGATCTTTGCTATCGTCGGCCATCTTTGTTTCCCTATAGCTCCATTACGGTGCACCCGCGTTGAAGTTCATCTAAGTTACTCCAATCTTCTGTCTTGACTTAGGGTGCGGGGAATAGTTACGTGTAAAGACCTCATGGGATTCCAGATGGAGAAAAGAATTCTCAAGTGTCTTAACAACTCGCACCAGGCCCAAGAAATGCAGTCACTGAGCTCGTCATCAGGTGGAGAGATCGAAGGAGAGACATTTCTTTGGTTCGCGTTTGCATCGACCAATAAGAGGAGTGTTCGGTGATTAGTCTTCAATACATGCACCATCTTAATAGTGGATCAGTCACAAGCAAATCTAAAACCAATCGCGACTTTATGACTCACGTTTTCTTGCGCCTGAGGAAGTTGAACAGATTTTCTATTGATGCCAGATCCTTCGTTTTGACTGTTGCGAGTTTTCTTTTTGTCATCAGGGCACCGGCCGAGCGTAGAGGCTAAGCAATATATCGATTGCAGGGTTTAAGCAAAAGAGGAAGTTGTTCTTGGTGTTTTTCCTTTCAAAAGCAATCGAAGGTATCATGTGCTCTTTAGTCGTAAGGTTGTTCAACTTGTAGACAAAGCTTGAAATGATTATGGGCAACAAATTGATGTAGTTTGAGATTTAGTAATGGATAGATATTTTGATATTTGTATTACTTTACTCTGAGATTGGTCTAAAAATGTTGTATAAGTCATGAAAAACTGACGAAATTATTTGTTAAAGATCTGGAAAAGTTTATAATATCGCCAAGATCCCAAGTAGGATCAATATCAGTATCTGGGCAACTGCCCACCTACCCCTTCCCTAACTCAGGGTTAATGTTGGGTTAGGGGAGGGGTAGGTGGGCAGTTGCCCAGATACTGATATTGATCCGCCAAGTATTCACCGTTATACCTGTTTTACGAAAGAAAGAAAAGTGAGAATTGAATAGTTGGCAAATTAGAAAGAAAATACATTTGAAAAAGTCAATTATGTTTAGAGTCGTTTTGTCTTGTAAGTTTTGCACAAATAAAATTATACTTTTACTTCTTCAGATAGAAGTGAATGAACGATTTTAATGTATTTATTAATTGTATATTAAGATCGGGGAAAAACAAAAACAGTTATGCGGCTTCATATAAGAACAAATGCTAATATTAAACCCCTCAATTTCGACAAAACCCGGCACTTTTACTCATATTTTGTACACATAATAGGCTCCACCCTCTCCCACTCCATTCCAACAGTTTCCGGAAAGTCCGTACTTATTGTACGTGTTTTCGGCGTCCAGTCCACTCCAACATTCTCCGTAATACTGGATTCCAAATACGCGAAGGCCACGGTCCTTGGCGATCTCTGCACATGCTCGAACGATTTTCGTCATATCAGTCCAATCGATGTTACCCCGGAAGTTTACTAGTAGCAACGGGAGAGCGTGGGGAGTACTGTCTTTAAAACAACCAAGTGAATTGTACTCAACTGAAAAGAAAATCGTTCCAAATTAAAAGGATTATTAAAATGTAATTCATTTGTGACTTCCTACTGATAAATCTTTAAATAACAAATAGTGAAAGCCGTGAATGACGCATGCTCTTTTTTTCAAAGTTTGACCCAGGGCACACACTGTCACAAGTGGTAGAGTTGATCGGAAGTAGCCCAACTCAAACAAGCATCCAGTTTTGGACATCAGAACCACCACATGTCTTACTACATGGGTCCAAGATAATCATTAGGGTAAAACCTTGTACATTTCCTAGCCTTCTCATGGCAGAAATCACCAGAAACTGCAATAGACACACAAGGAGTGTAAAACGTTCACATTTCGCAATATTTAGCGTCGTAAATCGACTTTATTTCGTTTCCCAAACCAGTCCTTATAACGTATTAAGTCAAAGGTTCCTCACGCAACCCAACACCGCGTAACATAACGTGCGACGCTTTCATTAATAAATACATACCTGTCCGAGAATTAATCTTTCGTCTTTCTCGAGACGTAGGCTTGGGACGCCTATTCTGAAACTCCCTAATTGCGAACGCAATAACAACCCCGAGAAACCTCACCCAAGCACCCCGGGGTTGTAAGATTGTATGCAAACGCCTTTTATTTTTCGACCACTGCTAGCGGATTACCTCACCTACCTGGGGTCCCCCATCTTCACGTAAACCGTCCCCTAGCCTTCAAATGACATATTAATCAATCCACTACACAACGGATACCAACCACGAATATTGGAGGTGGGAAAAAGTAACAAATAAAATAATGATAATTATAATAATAATGATAAAAATGAAGCGGATGACGAGATATGTCAAAGTAAAAGATTCACAGGAGGAGATAACACACAAGCATGAAGGTAAACCTGAACTTTATTTAGAGCAAGTCTCAGCTTCTGGTCACCTTTTTTTCCACATTGTTTTCCCTTAAAACCAACTTGACACAAGCAAATGTATCTCTTATCTGTAAACCCATTTAGACAGGTTGCATTAGGAAGACAAGGGCTGCTTGAACATGGATTCTGCAAGGATAAATTTACCTTTAGTAGGATTTATTGTAATAAAAACTCAGTATAACCATACCAAGGAAAATTGGAAAATGAATCTATCGTATTGTGTTCTATCCAAATATCGATACCTTTGAAGCCCAATACTGGTATCCTTCTTGGGGTGTAAGGTCATCAGGATGTTGAATGTGATCAGAATCACTCAGTTGACAGACCCTGAATCCGTTCTTGCTGGGTGGGCCAACGTTGACGGACACACAGGTATTTTCCATGAGACACCTATTTTTGCAGTCGCTATCTGGCTTAATTCCCATGGATAAATATATTTGTTTGAAAACGTGCTGTTGCAGAGCATGTCCTTCAATTGGCTTCTCAAACATGAGACTTCGACTGTGAATACCTGCAACTGATTAGGTAGAGATATGATGACAAGCATGTTGGACCTTTTTTGCTTCAAACAGTATAACAAACTCTTCCACGTTTCTGTTTCATGTTAAATCAGCAATGGTGTAATGGCAGGTTAGTCGTTAATTTTGCACAAATGAGAAATCGTCTTAAAAGAGCAAGGGCCGGCTAAAATATTGCTCAGCTCAAATATATCACTTGTTCGAGCCGTCCAGGAGATTATTGGCCCTCAGTTGTTTCTGTGCGGACCCAGCGCTGTGACATTAGGCCAATATTCCCCAGTACGACCCCCTCGCTCGGTTGGTAAGAAGTCAGTATTCAAGGCTTTTGACTGACATTTCATCCTACGAGATTTCGTAAGCAGAGCTATATATCTCGCAAAGTTGAAACAAAATTACGATAGAATTTTACATCATACGGCTATATTTTTTAACTGGATAATTCTGAGGAAGAAAAAGACTGAAGGAGTCAAAGGTACGGGCTGTACAAAGATGTTATTTCGAAACGGTATGAATTTACTTCTCGAAGTGTTTCTCTATGTAATTAAACAGTTCTGTATAAATTGTCGCGTTTCCTTTAAATCGATCACATCGTACAAAAATTGTGACAAAAAAATCAGCTTTTTCTCGGAGCGTTTTAAGAATGAAATTTATCATTTCTACATGTTTTGGAAAAGCTTTAGATTCTAAACAGTGCTGTATGAAAATTTCCTTTTTCTCTCATAACTTATTAATGCTTTCTTCATTAATTAGAAACAAAAATTTTTTTTGGAATACAAAAATATTCTTGCGATAAGATACACTTTATTCAGTGGTATAACAACGAAGCTGGAGAAAAAAAGTGAAAGGGGAGTTAAAGGAACAAAAAAATAAACGTCTTCCCCCAAAAGAGCGCTGGCGTCCTCAATCCCCCCTCCCTCCCCCTCTTCCTTTTTGATTGGAGCTATGTGAACTGAGCTATGTTGACAAAATATTTAAAAAGCTGGAAAAACAAAGCTAAATGAAGCTAAGAGACGTAGAAGTGTGGCGTATCTTAAAAGTTTACCGCAAGTTAAGAAAATATATCGCAAAGTTGATGTAAAAGAAAAATTCCACCACCGGAAGAATAAGAGGATGAAAGAAACCATTTACGCCGGAAACAAAAAGCATTTTGTTGAATTAAAGTTACGAAATAGGAAGAAGACCATTGAATTAAAATACCATAATTACTCGATTTCTAAGTTGAGAATTGAAGTCAAGAGCAAAATTAAGGTTAAATAGGAAGAGTCGATGAGGAAAATGAAAATTTCACCCTCAGTAGGTAAAGGAGACTTTCTTAATAAGAATTTAATTTGACTTTTTTCAGGCAGTTAATAAATCGCATATTAGATTAAAGTTGCATTAAGTGAGGAGAGGAGTGAATAAAATTCTTTACCTTGGTTTCCTTCTGTAAGGAACAGAAGCCATCCTCCCCACACAAGAAAATTGAAAAGCGAAGACAAAAATAAAGAACAGTGCTCTTCCATCCTCAACATAACATCAGGACATGATTCGCAAAACTTACTTTTGAAGGGAAAAGCGCGAGTGTAGCTCTATTTAAGCGTTCGCAAAGTCTTTGACAGATTCATCGCTGACAAACTATATCAATTATTGATAACTATCAATGCGATACTCAACTGACATACACGCCCTCTCGTTTTTAGGCAATTATTCCCTCCACCCGGGAGATGAGAATCAATTTGACTTGACTTTCTAAGCCCATGACGGCCAACTGAGACTCGATGACTTTTCGAGCTCCATTTGCTGAAACACTCCTATAACTTGAATATACTGAATTACTGCTATCAGTGACAGAGGAGATTGTGACATGAGAATTTTCATCACGATCAAACAGATCAATGTGAAATTTTGTAAAGAACGAAGACATTCATTTGCGTCGGGAAGTCAAAATATTGACTTAACCTATGCATACGTCTGTTTGACAACACATAAACATAATATTTCACAGCCTTGGAGTTCTAGGAAAATTTAATTGCCTGCCACCTGTGCATTGAGCTGTTTATCTATAACACATTACTGGACGAAAAGAAAAGGATTTGTAATGAAGCAACTTCTTTGGAAAACCTCTAAATTGCTCCAAAGGAATCAGTTAAATCTCTTGTATTAATCATAATTGGAAGCACCTTTTGTTTACATCTGCAGATCCATTTTTTCAGCATTAAGCATGACATTTTTAGATAGAATTTGGTGTAAAAGGCAAGGATTCTCCCCTTAAATTAGACAATTTTTAGGTAGTTTTTGTACTCGTTTCTTCTGCAGTTGCAGCCACAGCAAAATTCCAAGCCCCAATTTCTGGTTAGCTTCCCGTTTAATGTATATTTCACTGTACTCAGTTTCCAGTGTCTCCTGCAGATGTACCAATCCTTAATCTAATAGACCCAGCACTAGGAGTTTATCTTTCAAAATTCCCCAAATATTTTTATGTCAGACATGTTCTTTCGCTAGAGAAGAGAACGAGGTGTCGAATCGAAATTTACTCTAAGGAGAGGGGGAAGGAGGGGGGGGGTAGGTAATCTCTAAATGAAGGTAGTCCTGCTAAGTTTCTTTGTTTATTCGTTGATCTTTCGACTTTAGTTTTAAATTGATTTTTAGACTAGACGTAGCCGGATTTTATCATTCACGCGCAAAATGGAAAAGGAAGGTGATGGTAATTTGCAATAGTTCTGCTCGATCATGGCCTGTACAGTCAAGAAAAACACAAACAATGTACTGGAGAGTATTTTTTTATTGCTAGCACTAAACCTCCAGTCTCACCTACGATGTAGCAACAGCTTTATAATGTTTTGAAATGAAATAAAACTTCAGGAACACTTTTCTCCTTTAAAAGTTTCATGCGGAGACGCTAAGTTAAACCTTGCCTTGTGTCAAATTTACAGCTGTTATAATACCTCTAAGTCTTATTCAAGGTAATGCTAACGTTAGGCAAGGTACATCAACATCAAGCTTCTTCTGTTCGAGGGAAACAGAGATTCAACCATCTTTTCTCCCCCTCTCGACTGGACCTAAGCTCATAGAGCAGTCTTTCTCTTTCTAGGTCAAACAAAAAACTTTTTAGCCGATGGCATCGATATCTCTTTGTTACCAAAAGTGTATATTCGAAATACATGGTTAGCGTACTTTTCTTTCTCCAGAATATTCTACTAAAAAGCGTGATATAAATTCTCGTAAAAGGTATGTTGGAAAACCAAATGTAGGTCATGCAAGTTATCTAGGACTACAAGTAAATGTAGATGTTATCACTTAAATCAAACACTTGTGCAATATGTATACTTCACACAACAAAAGGACCATTTTACTTTCTATCGCTACTATTTGTAATGGTAATAGGACCGAGTGGAGTCCAACTCGGTCTGTAATCATACGAGCGATTGACAAAATGTCGATACGATTACAGACAGAATTTGACGAAAAGAAGTCCTGTTATCAATTAATTACAGGTTTCCGATTACAGCTGACTGTTCGATTACACTGTCCTCTTATAACTGTACAGAATGATTTTTGAAAAACGAGGCTGCAAATGCACCAATAATATTTGAGGAATTTTTAATGGTTTTTGATTAAACCAAATACTAACAGATACGTCGTACCTAATTTTAGTCCGGAACTTTAGCTTGGCTTTACAATTTCAAGACGCGAAAAGAGAAAGCTGTTTTTGTTATACTAGTTGAAACCTTTTCCGGTTTTTTTAGTTGTCTTACCAATTTGTAATTTCTAATTATTTTCCTCGCCTAAAGGCTCGAAAATAATTAAAATCTTGGCAAGTCGTGAGTGAAATTACCTACTTACCTCACTCTTAATTATTTGATTACGATTACTTAAGCATAAGATTATACCTTTTAGCAGCGTTTGAAAAGGCATTTGGGTTCTTGACTACTCCTGTATGAGAAGCATCCTTACTGTTTGGATTCAAATCTATACTGATCTTCTCTTAGGATCGGTAAATAGGGTCAGCGTGATGGTGCTAACTAACAGGCAATACTTCACACTCATAAAATCGTCCAGAATTTGTTTCTCATCGTTCAAGGTTGCCCCTTGTGATGATTGGTCCATGCGTAATGTCATCTTTCCAAATGACCCTATTGCTAGGATTAACCTTTTAACTCCCAAGATCTCTTAAGTAATTCTCCTTACTGTCTGCCATACAACTGTTATGATGTTAATTTGGAGAATTTGGTATTGAATCAACTAACAATTCCCGAATTGATATTTTTCTTTATTCTCATCACTTGTATGCTTAATATTGTATTGATAATGTAAGGAGAATTTCTTTCTTGGTCACTCATGGGAGGTAAAGGGTTAAACAACATTTGCTCAAACGGTTGGTAACATAGGCTACTTAAACAAGAAAACCGAATTTCATTCCTTTAACTTCAAAGTTGATGGTATTTGATCGAGTTTAAGTTCAATCCATTATCAGAGGTACAACGTGTGAAATCCGTCTGCGGGAAAAAATCATTACTATCTCAAATTGTTTGGGCTTTTTTTTGTCTTTTTAGTCGTAGATAAGGGCCTCCTTTAATTTCGGGCCAAATTATACTTTTAGTGACTGCTATCAGTCAACCGGAATGCCAATCATACAGAGTTGAATTCTAATTCCGTCATCACTATATTTGATTACACGTATTTTTTCATTTCAGAGTAATGTGATAGTCACCTGACCATGACCAGCCGTTCTATAACAACATGCATTGTCCTGGTTGTTTCCATCGTTGTAAGAGCCGCCCCCACCCCCACAGGAATTATACCTATCATCTCCACTGCTTCCCCCAGAGTACCCTCCTCCTCCTCCTCCTCCTCCTCCTCCCCCTCCATAAGCTCCACCTCCTCCACCAAACCCACCAACAACATTGTGATATACTGATCTCCCACCCACCCCTCCCTGTAGAAATC